GAGTAATCTAGAACTCAGTTTCTGTATCAGAATGATTTGGCCATTTAGGATTGAGATGGGAAATTTCTTACTTGCAGGGTTGTGAATCTTTGGAAATCTGTATCCCAGAGAGTTTTGAGTGCTTAGTCATTGAGTATATTCAATATGGTGTCAGCTAGACTTTTGGGTAGTAGGGAAATTAAGGGACAAGGAAATAGTGAGGGAATGTCAAATTGGGGTAGAGGATCAGCAAAGATTTTATTGAATGGCACAACAGATGTAAAGGGCCAATGGCCAATTCCAGCTCCTTTTGTAGAGTGTACAAAATTACACAAAATATATAAAATTTTGCAAGGCCAGAGGTTTATGAATTATGAATTTTGGCCTATTGTCAAATACCTAGTTCCACCTGATTTAACAAAGCCCACCTCCTTCAAGGGTCTTTAGAGCACGTGACAAACAAAAATAAATGCAAGTTCACGAATTCGAGTGATTCTAAAAGATCGCCATCTTTCAGGTCCTCCCTGTAGAGGAGTGGGGAATCCTTCTACTGCAATTTCTGGATTTCTGTTGATGAAATGTTGTTGCTCATGGCTAAAATGCCTTTAAATGATTTTAATTTATTTGCTCTTGAGTTGTGGCAATGCCAGCATTTATTGCCCATCCTTGATTGCCCTTTAAAGATACTATGGAATCATCTTTTGAACAGCATCTGTCCATATGGTGTAGCTACCTCCACAGTGCTGTTATAAAGGGAATTTCAGGTTTTTGACCCAGCAACAATAAAGGAATGGCATTTTAGTCCCAAGTCAGGATAGTTTGAAGCTTAAAGGGGGACATATGCGGCCCTTGAATTTCTAGGTAGTAGAGGTCACAAAGGTGTTGTCATAGAAGCCTTGGTGAGATGCTGCAGTGTAGATGCTGCATCTTGTAGTTGGTACACACTGCTGCTGCTGCTGTGCATTGGTGATGGAGATAGTGAATACTTAAAATGGTAAATTGAGTGCCAATCTCCTGGGCTGGTTTGTCTTGAATGTCATAAGTTTCTTGAGTGTTGTTGGAGTTATACTCATCCCAGCAAGTGGAAAGCATTCCATCAAATGTTCTGTAACACATCTGATTTGTGCTTTACACATGATGAACAGACATTAGGAAGTAAGGAGGTGAGTTACCTGCCACAAAATTCACAGACTCTGATCTGCCTTTTTGGTCACAATACTTACATCACTGGTTTGCTGAAGATTTTAGTCAATGCTTATCTGGATGTTGAAAGTGGGCGGATCAGCAATGGCATGTCATTAAACATAAAAGGTGAAAAAAATTAAAGTCCCTCTTGTTGGAGACAGTCATTGCTTGGCATTTGTGTGACACCAATATTAATTGCCAACTATCAGCCCATACCCTACTGTTATCTAGGTCTTCATATTTTAATTATTGTATCCAAGATTGTACTGTCACTTGTGAAGGATTCTTGTGATATTACATGGCAAGATCAAGACTAATAGTGTATGTGATCCTATTTATTCCTTTCTGTTCCTCTATTTGCTAAGCTTAGTATTTCAATCTCATTCTATTTGACCTCAACCCATGGAAAATCTTTCTTGGTGCTATATCATAATCCTAGTCTCTGGTACAAAAATTCATAATGAAGTTAAAAACCTCTACGGAATGGTTCTACAGTTCCACCATTGCAACATCCAAATATTTCTGAAAATATTGTACAATTACTTTGCCTCCACTACTCTTCCTGGGAATCAACTGATGTATTGATCACTCTATGTGAAGAAATATATGGACAACAACTTAAATATACCTTTTAGCAGATTCCAGCACCTTAAATGTAACAAAATCACATCTCCAGTATCTCCTTGGGAGACTAAAATGGCCAAGTTTTATATTCTGTTTGATTATACTCACTTATTATTCATTATGTCATATGCTTCAGCTGCAGCTGTCAGGCCATCATCAGTGACTCCTCCAACAACCCAGATTTTGTTTTGATGGACAGCAGCTCCAAACATGGCACGTGCTGTCTTCATAGCTCGCAGTTCCCTCCACTCAGATTTTTTGGGATTGTAGACAAACAATTTGTTGATGCATTTGCTGTGGTTAAATTAAAAATGATTGAGTAAATCAGTCATGCCAGTCTAGAACTAATGCATAATGTAGGAAATGTATGATTACTTACGCGTCATCAGTCTTCCCGCCAATAACATAGATTAATCCATTATGTGAAACCACAGAGTGGCCATAAATCTTAAACGGGAATGCTTTGGATTCATTCCATTTTAGGTTGCTGAAAAAAATGCATTAAATTATTTTTTATTGTATCCATCATTCTTCAATGTTTACCTGTTTTAAAAATTACGTTTTAGTTCATGAATATGCTGAAAATTACGGAAGGTGATTGCCTCAAATAATCGTGGAAAGATACCTTAAGTTTTAAAATAGTCTAAACAAGCCACTTCACACTGCCATAAATACAACGGCCGTACAAGTGTCATTTATCACTGACAGGATGTTGCTGTCAATTGAAAAGACATTCTGCATACAATTGAGCAACGTGGTGTATACATAAAATCAGATTTTTTTTTGGAAATGCACAGCAGGTCTTGCAGTATTTGTGGAGAGAAAGCATTCATACAATTGTCCTGAGTAGTGGAAAATGAAAACTTGGAGCAACTTGTCTCTGGCTTTCCCAATATTGAAATTGAAATTAAATAATGTGAAGTCTTTCAACACTACATTCGTTGAAAACTCACCTGAACTCAAAGTTAATGTACTGAACCCTTCTTTAATGTGCAAGTCTAATAAAACAATGAACACTGGACACAGGGAAGCTAAGTGTCTTGTTCAAAAACTGAACAACAAAGAAATGATATTGCGTCGTCATTATCTGACGAATTTTCCTATTGCGATTCTAATCATGCCTTGTGAATGTCACATAACATACAAGTTACAATACTTACATTTTTGCAGTCTGTTCCCAGAACTGACTCAACCAATATGATTATAGGTCTATTTAAATGAGCTAATGGAGGGTAAAATAATCCTGTTTTGGATGGGACCTATAATCTCAATGACAGTCCTTGTATTCTGACTGAATTTGATATGCTCACTGTTGATATTAAATTATAACTGTAACGACACTGAATAGTATACTGTACAATATTTCTGTGAAAGCATGGTTCTGATTAACTATACTGGTTTGGAGCAGCATTTTGTTAGAAGTTGCTACAAAATTATTCAAAAATAACATTTTGTTAACATGCAAATAATCTGGATTTACTTACTTCATATCGTAGCAAAATACTGAATCCAATGACTGCTCGTTTGGAAGATCCTTGCCACCAATCACATAAAGAAAGTTTTCTGTTTCTCCCAGCCCGAAGAGGCATCTAGCTGAAGGCAGCGGTGGCAAGCCATTCCATTCACTAGCGATACTGTCAAACTAAAGCGTCGGAAAAGCCAGTTTAATTGTGACCGATTCTCGATATATTTATATCAAACGTATTCAGAAATCCGATGAGATTTGATAGGAATTTGAGGTGGAGCACACAATTCATAAAATTATCATATTTTGCACAATATCTATTTTGAAACAGAAGGGAAGAGACTACATTGAAATGGAACTGGTTGCTTATATTTTTTAAATAAGTAAACTTGGAATGATTTTGAAAATGGGTGAACTAAATTAACAATTACAATCACGTTTTCTGAAACAAAATATTATCTGATTTCACAGTTCGATAGACTTACGAGTACCTGATAGAAATAGCAGTGGTAGGGCTGTTCTTTAAGTTCTTCATCCACGTACAACCCACCGACAACAAAAATTTGGTTTCCCTTTGTAACCAAACTAACATGGTTTTTGGGGATCTGATCACCCACTGCAACCAGAAAGCATTGATTTAGATTTGGATCATATGCCACCGCCACTGTGTCATTAATTAACATGATCATTTCCTTGACGAACATGCCATGTCTGGGAATGTCATTCAGAAAACCAGGGAGCAGATCTTCGTCACCTACATCACCGTTAGCTAGATCTTCACCGCCTTCTCCTTTCTTTGCGTTCTTGTTACTACCTGTCTCAGGCTTGGGAAGTTTTCCTCCAAAAGCATCTTTAATCACCTGCACCTTCTTCAATAGATCTGGATTAGCTTTAATAATGTCATTTTTTTCGACCTGGTCTTTGATATATTTCTCAGTCATGAGACGAAAACGAATGCAGTCAAAGATTTCTCCTAAACTTTTGACCCTGGTCTCTTTGTCCTTCCGGACCCATCTTACTACAGCTTCAAATACAGTTTCTTCTTTCTCCACGTTTAAAGCGTCATTCGCAATGATGCCGATAAGCTCATGAGAAGCCAGTTGCATAAAATCTTCATCATTACAGATTTGTTCAAAACGAGCGGACGCATATTCACGGGCAGCAATAGCAAGCCGAGGACAGTCCAAAAGGAGTCCTAGCCTGAATATCGCCAAACAGTTGCTAGCAGATAACTTTTCTTGAAGATAGGTGACACAGAGTGTGAAAACAGAGGGGATCTGAAAGCGGCTGGACGCAGCAAAAACATTTTGCACGTTCTCATCGGTCAGTTCTATCTCAGAGGAATACAGATACTTCAAGATCATATCCACGACACTTTCATCGACATCTTCCAAAACCACCTCACGTTTCTTTTCCTCACTTACATCTGAAAAGAAATACTCACGGAAGTAAGGGCTGCAAGCTGCCAGGATTAGTCGGTGGCAGGGAAATAACTTATTTCCCACCTTCAGGGAACAATCCACAAATTTGTTTTCATCCAGCAAATTTTTCAGTCCATCCTGCAGTAGGGTGGTTTGGTAAAGCCGAGATTCTTCCCTTGATTCTTTCCGAGGGTCCATGGTGAGGAAGCTGCGAAGGCAAAGGGAGCAGGTAGCGTTCACTGTACTAGGGTTCGCCTGAAAAGGCAGAACGCAGTGGCTTGCTGCACTTGAAGATTTTGTAATTTAACTCCACAGACTAAATATAGAGACACCGTACATGCTGGAATTCAGGTTAACCAGTGTGGAATGTGGACCGCAATTTGGCAGCTGCTGCAGACGGAAAGAAACAACTGTGAAGGAAAAAACAGAGTTAACGTTTTGGGTCCGGTGACCCTTCCTCAGAACGGCAACTTAGTTTTTGTTCCTGATTTACAGCATCCGCATTTCTTTCGGTTTTTATTTTTAAGAAACAACTGTGATCGTCTTAGGAGTTAAACGGGATAGGCAATCACTATCGGGAGCGATTACTAAGGGAATTAAATTTAGTTATTTTTATCATATTGAGACAGCGTCATGGCTAGTGTGTCTCACAGCTATGAATATCACACATTACGGAATCAACCCTTCCACTAAATTCTCAAAGAGATTCTTCAAATCGCAACTCACTCATTCAGTCCCATAATTTAATCACAAGTGTTTTTTTTGGGTTCTGATTCTATTTTTAAGAATTCCAAGGATCGATGTCAAAATTTTCAAAATAAATTTAATGGCAATATGTTATAGTCAAATTATGACTGCATTACAAGTTAGTACAACAGTATATAATGTCATACTATCATTTTAAATCACACGTCTTCATATTATTTGCATATTTGAAGGGTATGATTTCGTTTTTATTATGGATAGAATGGATATCTTGGTCAAATATATCTACATTTCACAAATATTTCTTAAAAACAAAAGGTAAATGACGAATTTACATGCAATGGAAACAAAATCATTTCCCACAACCTATTTTGGAACTAAGAATTCACCTTGGAAATATTTTAAACTTGTATAAATCTCAAACCCACCTAAGAGACATGATTAATTGCTCGAAAACTGTGCTTATGGTTACCCTGTTTTTCCTCAAGTAACTTTCACAGTGGAGTCTTTTACAAACAAGGTCAACTGCTGAACAGGTGGTCATCATTTTGGCTCATGGCCATTTTTAGATTTAACATTTGATCAACCTTATTCATAAACTAAACATTTGTTTCATTTCAACTCCCCCTCCCATTCCGCAGAAGTCGCGAACCATTTCAACTCCCCCTCCCATTCCTCAGACGACATGTCCATCCTGGGCCTCCTGCAGTGCCACAACGATGCTACCCGAAGGTTGCAGGAACAGCAACTCATATTCCGCTTGGGAACCCTGCAGCCCAATGGTATCAATGTGGATTTCACAAGCTTCAAAATCTCCCCTCCCCCTACCGCATCCCAAAACCAGCCGAGCTCGTCCCCGCCTCCCTAACCTGTCCTTCCTCCCACCTATCCCCTCCTCCCACCTCAAGCCCCACCCCCATCTCCTACCTACTAACCTCATCCCGCCCCCTTGACCTGTCCGTCCTCCCTGGACTGACCTATCTCCTCCCTAACTCCCCACCTACACTCACCTTTACTGGCTCCATCTCCGCCTCTTTGACCTGTCTGTCTCCTCTCCACCTATCCTGTCCTCCATCCATCTTCTATCCGCCTCCCCTCTCTCCCTATTTATTTCAGAATCCCCTTCCCCTCCCCCATTTCTGAAGAAGGGTCCAGGCCCCAAACGTCAGCCTTCCTGCTCCTCTGATGCTGCTTGGCCTGCTGTGTTCATCCAGCTCTACACCTGGTTATCCCTGTATAGTATAACTGTTATGAGTAAATATTTTATAATTTAGTAGTCAAGGGTATAGTTAGAAGATTGTTAATAATGGAAATGAATAATTTATTAAGTACTATTAACTCAGTAGTTCAAAATGGATTATGTCGTCTTTGGATCTTTCATATCATAGGAAAATACTGCAGATGCTGGAGAAACTCAGCAGGTCTGGTAGCATCTGTGAAAAGCGAATCAGACTTAATGTTACAGGTCTCATGACTTCTTCGGAATCGAGTTCGGAATTGATCTCGAAACTTCCTCTCTCCACAGATGCCGCCAGACCTGCGGCTGTACGCTGTACTGAACAATGCGCTTCAAAGATTCATTTTCTTTTCCAAGTCATTGACCATCATTGATTCCCCTTCCATTAATGGTTCAGCCTAGTCTTTTTTTTCTGTAGACTCTTCCAACTGACTCTTCATCTAATGTATCAGATCTATCATGTTGTCAAGACAGCTTTTGCTACTCTTTCGTTTATTGGGTGACAGGAGTTTGGGTTATACTCGGCAAGATGCAGAAATTTTTCACTTAAAATTATCGTTGTATTCTTGAAACGTGCAAATTTTACATGAAATTACTACAAGTGGATCAGACTTTCTCGTTAAAGCCAAAGTAAAAGTTGCAGTTAATTTCTTAGGACCTTCACAGTCATTAAAAAAAAGTTATACCCTTTTTAAAATATTTTTCATTACTACGATCCTGTGTTGGTAAAAGAAATATGGCAATATTCTAATTACTTCCTGCTCATCACCAATCTTGCTTCATGAACCTCACACTTGCTAAACATCCCACTCACGTTCTGCTGCTCTGTAGCCCGCCCTCTCACTCCAGCCCACCAGACTGTTGGCCTCTGCCACTCTTTGATCCCCCTCACTTCCTCTTCGATCTCAATTATCATGGAAAATCCTATTTACCCGTTCTTTTTCCTGGATCCCTGCTACGAACGAGCGCTCCGGACGTGACCAGCGAGTGAGAGGAGCAGCAGCTTCAACTGCATAAGTACCTCGGATATCTGCATTCCTCTGATTTTGACTCTACGCTTCCCAATTTTCTTTGCTCCACTATTTACCGTACCTGCAACTGCATCGTTGGTATGCTTTTGGGATTCCACCCCCGCCAATTTTAAACCTCTTTACTCCCTCAAGACGCTTATCACCTACCTCTTTTATCTATCCTAATATCTCTTCAAGTGCCCCAGTGACCCCAAACAACGAATTCTGTTTGAAAATCGATCTCTAAAGTGTCTTGGGGCGTCTTACTACTAAAGAATTGAACTAAAAAATACTATATTTTTCCTCTCAAACTCTATTATTGAACGTTGCTACATTTGATAATTGAACACCTAAAGATAACCTGGTTGTGATAATCACATCATAGTCATATGAAAAAAAAGTGCCTGATGTATGTCTCAGCAGATATAATGGGGGAGAAATAAATAAATACAAAAAGTGTGCAAACACATAAGATGTAAATAAACCAGTGGCATCTATTAGGATAGGGTGGATTTAGAAATCTTACGTGCACAGGAGGTAATTCATGGAGGCAGACTGATACTTACAAATACAAGGTATAATCTGAAATTTTAATTTTTATGTTGATTTTTTGCTTCTCAACAAAGGGTATATCAGTGCTGAGGAAAATAATGTATTTCCAACTTTTCATATCAATGGCAACATTCCATATCCCTAAGTCAGGATTAACACGAGAAGCTTCATATTGAACTTCTCTCTATTCCATTCCAATTCTATGCCAGGAAAAGCATTTTTGGTTGTGATATTTTATCCAATTTCCACACTAGTCATTCCTCTTGCCTCAGAACATTTCTACTTGAAAATCTTTCAGGATTCAAATGATTAACAAAAGATCACACAATGCAAATGATCCTAATACAATATTGTAGGGGAGGCAATAGCCTCGTGATATTATCGCGCGATTATTAATCCAGAAACTCAGCTAATGTTCTGGAGACCCAGGTTCAAATCCTCTTATGGCAGATGGTGGAATTTGAATTCAAAATAAAAAATGTGTAATTAAGAATCAACTGATGACCGTTAAATCATTGTCAATTGTTGGAAAAACACATATGATTCACTAATGTCCTTCAGGGAAGGAAATCTGCCATCCTCACCCAGTCTGGCCTACATATAACTCCAAATCCACAACAATGTGGTTGACTCTCAACTACCCTCTGAAATGGCCTAGCAAGCCACTCCTTTCAAGAGCAGCTAGGGATGGGCAATAAATGCTGGCCAACCAGCAACGTTCACATCCCATGAGTGAATTAAAAAATATATACTTTTCTTGCAGTTTCATCTCAAAAGGCCACACAAAAATTGTATTAATATCAAATCATTAGGCCTGAAATTATTTATTTATTTAAAAATGGGAAAAAATCTGCTCTGTTATCTACTAATTCCATAGAATCACATGGCTTTGATGTGCATATTTTAAGAATGCAATTTAATTGCCATGTTGTTAATATTGAAAAGAAAATCCTGATCCCATATCATTGGAACAGTGCAAAGGTGCATGAACCTTTTCAAAGGAGAATCCTGCCAAAATATATTTGAGACAATAACACATGCTTTTTATACAAGGAACACTTTTTTTTAGCAACAATGATATACTGATAAATGCAATATTGTTGTGGATATGTAAACAGTTTTTATGAACTTAGCATTCTCATAAAAGCCCAGTCACATTTCATCCAACAATATTTAATGTTTCCGAGAGTTTTTTTTACAGAAAGTGGAAGGTTTCTTCAATTAACTGATTGCTTAGGGTATGCACTCTAAGGGGAGAGGGGTAGGGGTATGGTGGTAAATAGCACATGCTCTGGAAGAATACAGAGCAACTTCTGAATTTCTGCATTATTCTGCGCATTTGCAGGCTCCCAAAGTTGCTGTAAGTTTCACAGGAGTAATGATGGCAAATGCATGCAATTTAACCATGACCGCCGTTACAAAACTCAAACTGATAAAAGGACTGCGCGGCAAATTAGTGTCCCTTGGTTGAGGTTACTGAACCATCATTTAGTAAGAGAGAGTGAAATGTTATTATAGCCCTATTGCAGTGTATTTGTTTTTAAATTCAAATTTCATGTTAATGTTCAGAATGCAAATCTATAATTCAAATGATCAGATTTTTAAAAAAAGTCTTGTGTTGGTCTGTCCAATTATTGCGTGAATCAGATAAGGATTTCCTTCTATTAATACTCCATTCCCAGTAAAATCTTTGG